TTATAATCGGTAGCAAAGTAAAAACGAAAATAACAATTAAAGCGATGTAAACGTATGGATTAAAAGCACCAGGCTTTAGGGATAGTCGCAGGAAATCAAGGATGAACCAGACAATTATTCAGGGAATAATTACGCGCAGTTTCAAACTCAAACATAAATGTATAACTAATCCACTGTCATGGTATCAGAGATTTAATCTAACAACTTAGAATTCTAAACTGTCGTTTGAACATAGAATTCTAGACAAGCATTAACAAGCAAGTTTGATATGTTCACAAATTGCCTTAGCATCAACTTTCGTTGGCTAAGGACAATTTGCTCACCTATGTTCTAGCTAGCAACATATAACACTTTTGATTAATAGATTAAACTCTAAATCAAAGACTAAGTGATCAATTTAGCCTAAGCAATATGAACAACGATAGGTGAAAACAACAGATGATAAATCCCTATTTATGTCTAATTCAATGATAGATTCTTTTGAAACCCAAAAACATAACTAGAAAACTACTCAGATCATAAGAAGAATTCTTGAAAGACATAAGAAAATCAATAGATAAACAAGAGGGTTTAGAAATCTTCTCCGAATTGTCAATAGGGTTCAGAGATCTCTCCCAAAAGCTTAGAAACAAAAGGTATGAATAAATTACAAGGGTTTTTTTTTTTCTAAAGTGGCTAAAAACATGTATTTATAGATCTAAAATCGTGCATGTCGAAATCTCTTGTAAAAGCAAGTCAAATTAGGAAACACTGAAATTTTTCTTTATTTTCATCGGTTTAGACAGAATGACAAGTTTTCACGAGAATTGGTGTAACTTTCTGACCGTTGATCCAAATGACTTCAATCTTCTTTTGGATGCAATCAGACTCAATTTTCTATCTCGTGTCCAAATTTCAGATCAATCCAATGACTTTAAGACCTCCAACGATTGCTTGACATATGACGCTTTAGAACTGTCCAATATCTCTTTTCTCATCCTTTTTGCTCTATTAACCTGTAAAAGACTTTAAACACTACAAACACACTAAAACTACCACTTAAGACATAAAACCGCATAAAAACCATTAGATAGAATAATAAACACCATATAAAAAACCATAAAAATCAGGATATATCA